AAAAACACAAAAAAAGATCTAGTTTCTGTCCGACTTACTAGTTTACCTACCTAGTAAGCAAATATTTTATAAAATAATCAAAATCAAAGCTGTAAGCAAAACTCGAAGCAAAATAATTAAAATATGCATGAAAACACATATTCAAATCACACTTGCTGGTCGCCACGCCATAGTGAATTTAACGTTTTGACAGATGGATTGGATTGCCTAATTGTTATTTGAGGTTGCCGCCAATTGTAGATTGCATTAAAATAGTATTAAATTATTCCACAAAAAACCTTAAAATAATAAAAATATAATATACATATATCATACAGACTTGTGCGGTACTCGAGTACAAATACTCTTCACTTTTACTCTAAGTACCTTTCGAGTTATTCGGTATTCAGGCCACGATACTTTGTGAATCATGTAACTCGAACTGTTTGAGAATATAAAAAATACCCGGTACATTTTATTGTACTGAGTAAATTTCAAAATACCCAAGTACATCCTTTTATACTCGAATACATATACCCGGGTATTTTCATTGTTTTCGAATACATTTGCAGTTACTGAGTAAAATTATTTGACTCTAAGTACATATTTATTTGGCCACAAGTTACATTTCCAGACAAGTTGAGACCTGTTTCCACAGAAATCACTAACCAGTCAAGATTACTGGTTGTTGGCGATTTGCACCTGTCAAAAACGCTCTGACTGGTTTGTGATTTCTGTGACTTCAATTTTCTGGCATTTCTTGTGTAGATACAGATGCGTAGCATTCGTTGTTCGTTGTGATTTACAAACGAAAATCTTGAACTTTTCTGTGCACTGTGACGATGTGTCAGAGAACGTAGATTTGCAAATTCTGAGCCCTTATAAACTCTGGACTCTGGGTAACTAAACCAAACCGTAAAATTGCTGTGATTTATAGTAAACCAAAATGTGTTTTTCAATCTTTGTTGTGTGAACATCTATACTGGCGGTTCTGGGAAATGGGACGGAAGTGTGAATGGGGATGTGACGTAATAACCCATGCGCAGTGATTAGGGCGCAGCTACATCAGCGCATGCGGCCTAAGGTGGCATTAGACTTTTATGTCAATGATCAAGGGTGGTTCAAAAGGAGGTGCGTAACAACTTTAAGACGTCATTGATATGCTGGTGGCATTGTGTGGAATGTATTCATAAATGTACTCGGTGCTTTGAGTACTTGGGTATTGAATATTTGTAATTGTACTCTGTACTTGAGTACATTTTGAGCAAAGTACTTGTACCCGGTACCCGAGTACATTTTGCTTGTACTCGAAACAGCTCTGATATCATATAAGGACATTGAACAAAATTAAAATCAGAAGTAAGTTTAGCAAATAGGTAGTACTGGAACTAGAAAGCAGGAAAGTAATCGGTACCTGAGAGGGGCGGCAAAATAGTTATTTTCCTAACAAGTGCGCAAAGTGTTACTTTTCCGCACGCAAACACAGTTATACGAACGACGCGAAGCGGAGTTCGGATACGTGTTTGCGTGCGGAAAAGACACTTTGCGCACGTGTTAGGAACAAAATTTTTCCTACGAGCTTCATATCAGGTAGGTAACAACAAAAATTTAAAAAAAAAAACGATAATTTGTTTAATTATTTTTAATTAACTTGAAGGGAACCTATGCATTTATCAAAAAATTACATAACAAAAAAAAAATATAACAGAAAATCATCGTCAGAGCTCTTCATCTTAAAGCGTTTAATGGCGATTTCCATTTGTCATCAGTGCCGCACTGAGTGCATCCGCATCTTTTTCTAAAAGCATGTAACATGTAAGGATAAGGATACATTTTTTTGCCCTGTTTCGACAAATGGAAAATGCTATAAATTTGATGAGATAGTTTGTAGATGCATATATATAGAAAACAAATCTGACAATGTGTTGAAGTTAATTAAATTTGGTGTTTGTAGGTATAGATGTTAGCTGGAACAGGAACAGAGGAAAAATTTGTCATCATGTGTCAAAGTCGACAGGTGTACTTATTGTTGCTTGACAATTATTTTTACTTTTCGGCACTCAGTGCGGATAAGGCCTGTATCCGCACTGAGTGCGGAAAAGTGCAACTTTGAGAACCGAAATGCGTGCGGAAAAGTACTACTTTGCGCACGCTCGTAGGAAAATACCTTTTCTACGGGGCGCCGAAATGTCTGGAGCCGGCCCTGGTCGTTAGTAAGCATGTTCAATGCGCTATTCAGATCTTGAGGATTCTTAATTCTCATCAACGATCCAATAGGCTCTTTAAGTCCGCGTAACAGGACTCTTAGCACTAAATTTCGACAATATTGACACAAGATACTTCTTTCTGAAATGCTTACATGAATAGAAGAAACTTGCAAATTTAAAATTTATTGCACCCTATTGAAAAAATCGAATACTGATTCATTACCTTGTCATCTTGATATTTAGAGTATAGATATCTCTCTTATCTGCATTAGGCTGCAAGAAGTGCATTTTTAAGATCGTCAAATGTGTAAATTGAAGCACATGAAACATTAATTGCGGCTTCGCCTTTAATTTTTGATAAGATACTGGACATAAGATATTCATTTTGGAAGTCTGTAGTATCTGTTGTGTTATAAAATTTATACCGTGTTCGTTTTTGTCATCTTTTTCGTCAATTTGCTCCGAAATTTTGACAGGCACGTGACTTGTAAATTGAAACTGTCTGATCCAGTCACGTGCCTGTCAAAATTTCGGAGCAAATCGACGAAAAAAAAGACAAGAATCAGAATCGCTAGCTAAATAATCAGAAACACTCGACGAACTGTAATATCCTGAATATTGCCCTCTGTAACATAAATTGTAGTTACAGCAAAACCAACACAATCTCCATTAGACAATCTGCGCTAGAAGTCCAAAAATTCAGGAGTTGAAGTCAATTTTCTCTTGAATCTGCCCTGCCAGAGTTGTCTGATCTTCTATTGAATTGTTCTATGGTTTATTTTTTTCCAAGATAGATTTTGGCATTGTCAACTTTGAAACATAAACAATGCCGCTAATGCCGCTTATTGGTCGCTATTGTAAAACCGATGTCAACCTGCAGAAACACCTCATTTTGCGACCAATCAGGGTCAAGCGTAATGTTTATGTTTCAAAGTTTTCAATGTCAAAATCTATCTTGGGAAAAAATAAAGTGTAGATGACCTACTCAATTCAGCCAACAAAATGTCTCAGTGAACACACGATATACCGGGATGAGAGAAAAAGTTCACGAGTCGTTAAAACGAGGCAGTTCTATATTCACTAGGACTGTTGAACTTTTCCAAAACCGACCGCGCCAATTATGGTAGAGGAACTAAATAGAGAGAAAAGTAGTTACAAGTATCGGTTCTAATTCTAGACTGAAGAGAATAATTTATATTATTGAAAATGAAACTTTGCAATAGTTGAAAATTGATTATTAATTAAACTATTAAAATATAGATGCTGCTAATGTGTAGCAAGTCGGAAATAAGTCAATCGGGTCAAGCGCCTGAGCTTGACTTGAACTCGTGTATATATAAAGGATGTACAACTTGGCTTTAATTAGAGCTCAATTACATTGAAAGCGGATGGAAATTAACGAAGCTGTGAGGCCAAAAATGTCTCAGTGTCATTCGCGTGTTATTTTTGGAAGGATGTCAATGTTCTATAATTTCAATTTTGAAGCTTCTCAGGTGTAAAACTGTTGGAACCAAATTAAAATCCTAAGAAATAGGTTTGCAGAGGTTTTAATTAGAGCTTAATCACATTGAAATCGGTTGTGAGGCAAAAATTGTCTGAGTGTCATTTTTGGAAAATTTTCAATGTTCGATAATTTCAATTTTGAAGCTTCTCAGCTGCAAAACTGTTGAAACAGATATACAATTTTGTCTAGTTGACTAAACACAAAAACTATCACAATAACCCGCAAAAACCCAAAAACCCAATAGAAAAAGGACTCTACTGAAAATGCAACAGGAAAAATCGTTTTCGTTTTCTATTTAACCTTATCATGACCTGTATATTATAATATATGCCAACTTCCAGGCCTCAATAAGCTCAACCTCGTATAATAATATATTTGCCTATAATCGAGTGTTTGTTTTACAAATGGGCTTACATATTGTTTTTTGTTTTTTTTTTTTTCCCCGAGTTTTTGAAGGACCCCGCACACTTCTTATGGGATTTCTGACCGCGGTCAAATTTAACTAAATTTTAGTATGTTATAGATCTCACCTTTCTGATCAATAACTTCCATGGGCAGAACTTGATCCTATGACTAGTTTTTGAGATACAGGTAGTTTAATGTCCAAGAAACATACATATTATTTTATATGCATTTACATCTACCTGTCACCTGAGCGTGAGGATACCTGTCCATCCGGCATCCTGGTATTATTAGGTGAGTAGATAGATGTAAATGCATATAAATAAAATGTATGCATTTCTTGGACATTGAACTACCTGTATCTCAAAAACTAGTCATAGGATTGAGTTGTGCCCACGGTAGTTATTGATCAGAAAGGTGAGGTCTATAACATACTAAAATTTGGTTAAATTTGACCGCGGTCAGAAATCCCATAAGAAGTGTGCGCGGTCCTTCAAAAACTCGGGTTTTCACTGAGTTGGGAAAGTTGTGAACAATCTGGCAACTTCGCATGAAGCGGCTTCAGGGTTGATCAATAAGTACGAAAAAGATTTCGAGAGCTATCTCAGGTATTTTAAGTCCCAGATTTGTAGGATCAACTTAGATTCTACACAATTTCTCAAACTTAGGAAGACCCTACCTTTTCCAGAAAAACATCAAAATATGACAGTGTGTATTATTCTTTTAATACAGTTTTTCTAACCTGATTTTTAAGAAGCTCCTAACTTTCCCCTACTTGCAACAAAAGTTTCAAAATTTTGCCCTCATAAGTTTTCCAAAAAATATCAAAATATGACAAGGTGCGATATTCTTTTAATGAAGTTCAGTCAGTTCAGATACAGTGTTGTCACTTATTTCCTAAATTCTAGACAAAGAAGACGATCCAGATAGTCCTCGAATATTGCGTCATATCGAGTTGATTGACGACGAGGCGAGCGAATACGGAATTAAGATTGTTAAAATGAAAGACAAACTGATGGCTAAAAAATACGGCTACAGAAATCCACCTGGTGTGACGTATTTTAGAAAAGGTAAATAGTAAGACAATTTGTATAGGTACGCAGACTTAAAAAATCACTGATTTATTATAGGAAAATCTATAAACTATGACGGTGATATAGACGACGAAGAAGAACTGTTGGACTGGCTAACAGATCCAGAAAACATGGAATTAACAGACCATATAGAAAGAGTCAATAGGAAAATGTTTGAGAAAATCCGTCAGAGATCGGATTACGTGGCAGTGTTTTTGTGTAAGTAATATTTTCAGAATTGAATAATCCTGATTTTTTTTTTTGGCTCTATTTCCAGATAGTGCTGACTGCAAGCAATGCCCAAGAGTACTTACTGAAGTAGAACATATTGATGATGAAGCAGATGCTGCTGGAATTAATTTTGTTAAAATCGACGATAAAACGTTAGCCAAAGAATTTGGTAAAAAAGATTTTCATTCTAGTGTATTTTAGTATAAAAAATTATCTGTTCTTCTAGGTGTTTTTGCCTTGCCAGCAATTTTATTCTTCAAAACCGGCTCAAAAGATCCAGTAATATATGCCGGTGACCTGTACGATGAACAGCAAATACTCCAGTGGCTGATGACGCAAAAAGATCCTTCAGGAGATGTTATAGAAGCTGCAGAAGGCAGTGAATTGATTATGTTGATCGATAACGAGGAAGCTCTGGCAGTATATTTCTGTAAGTATGGATTTTTGAATAGAGCAGAAAATTTTTGGAAAATGGCAAAGATTCTTAAAAATTTAATCGTTTGTATAACATTGATATACTTAAAAACAGAACGTTGTTTTAAGTTATAAAACGCAAATACATAACTGAATTTGCACTATTTACTAAACATAACAAACTTCTGTTGAATATCAAAATTTTCACTTATATAACTAAATAAATCAAGCTCAAAAAACATTATTTATTCACAGATTATCCAAAAAAGGATTCACTTCTTATTTTATTTTTTGGTCTTTGCAAGCACATTCTAACAAAGTAACTAAAATTAAAAAAAAACAACTTCACTCGACTTTTTTTTTTGTGTGCGCTTATAGCTTTGTACGCTCTTCGTTAATAAACTTACAGGGAACAAGACCTTGTGCGATTTGTGTGAGCAGGCTAAGGCGGAGCTGCTGCAAAAATCAAAGAAACTTCCCAAAAAGCTGGAACAAGAGGAACGCTCGCCGGAAGCAAACGGTATAATTCAAATATTTTCAAAATTTCCCTTTTATTTTTTTCCAAAACAACAAACAAACCTTTAAAATAGTTTCCCGAAAACCAAAGGAGACCAGATGTGTATATGATTTTTCTTTTATAGTAGAATATATTTTTGATTTTCTTGCTATTAATTCGCTGAAAATAACGTTTGAGTGACGAGAAATTTTCAAACTAACCTTTAGTTTAAGTAATTTTCACCCCACAAACTACCAATCAATGTTTTATCTATATTCTCATCAGATAGCGATGATTGTGAACAATGCATCAAAATCCTAGAAGAACTCGAAAACATCGATGACGATTGCGAAAGGCACGGAATCAAATTCGTCAAAACCACAGATTTAAGAATAGCTGAACAATATGGTGCAACAGATTTTCCAGTTTTAATGTACTTCGAGCACGGAGTAGGCGGAGTTTTTGAAGGAGACCTAGAAGAAGAAGAAGAAGTACTGCAATGGTTGATAATGCAAAGAACCGAAGACAGAATCGAGCTTATTACAAGAGTTATGTTGGAAAGGATGGTGGAAGATACACAATATTTAGCTGTTTACTTTTACAAGACCAATTGTCACATTTGCGAGCAAATTTTAGAGGAATTAGAGCAAATTGATGATGAATGTGATGTTTATGGTATACAGTTGGTTCGGATACAAGATCCACAATTAGCAAAAAGGTAATTAATTGATTTAATAATATAATAAACACATTTGAATATATATATATATATATTTTTTTTTATAGATACAGTATCAAAACATTCCCAGCTTTGGTTTACTTTAGAAACGGAAATCCTCTACTTTTTGAAGGAGATCTTCAAAATGAAGCAAGCGTTCTTGAATGGTTGACAGACGATGATAATAGAGAGTTGGCAGACGAAATTGAGTCAGTTAATGAAAGAATGCTTACTAGATTGCTCAGCGAATCGCCATTTTTGGCAGTTTTCTTTTGTAAGTTGCTCCAACTTGGCCCTCAAAACACTAACAAATTTTTAATAGATGACGAAGATTGTCCAGAATGCGACGAAATTCTGGAAAATCTGGAAAAAATTGACGGAGAAGCTGACTTATTCGGTATAGATTTTATCAAAGTATGTAGCGCCCAAGCTGCAGCCGACCAAGGACTACATACGTTGCCAGCTCTGATGTATTTCAGGAAACAGAAACCAATGGTTTGTATTATTGTTTTAATATTTGGCAACATATTTATGTATTTTTTATAGGTATATGAGGGAGATCTTACACAAGCGGATATGGTTTTAGATTGGCTCACATCCCAAGATGTTTTTGAAATCAAAAACGAAATTGAAGAGGTTAACAAGAAAATGTTGGAAAAGTTATTAGAGGAAAACGAATTTGTTACTGTGTTTTTTTGTAAGTAAAACTTCAAAGTAATAATTTGAAGCTGTTAATATTTATGAACTTGCACTTCTGGATTGATATAATTAATAATGTTTCTTGAAAAGTCAGTATCAAGAACTCCTTGCCATTCCAGTATATAGTGTATCTGTATCTGTAAGTTTGGGAGGGTTATATGCCACAGCATGTCGAGAAAGACACTTTATTAATGACTGAGATGGGGCTCCTTCCTGCCCTTATAGCCACTCCGATCCTCGCTACTGATAACTGTTTCTCTAAGATACTGATCTGCGGCTATTACTGATACTCTGAAACTGGCGTGAATCCTCTGCCTGGGATTTACGTTGCCTGATACTGATAGTGATAGCGTTGATTCCTCTACATGGGATTGATACGTTTACTGATATTATGAGACTGATACTGAGACAAACTACTCAAGAAGACTGACCACAGAGACTGACCATCTGTTACTGACACTGACGTGAATCCTCTACCTGGGATTCACGTGCCTGATATTGATACCTGAGCCTGAATCCTCTACCTAGAATTCACCTTGCCTGATATTGATACCCGAACCCTCTACCTGGAATTCACCTTGCATGATATTGATAGGTGAACCCTCTACCTGAGATTTACCTGGCTTTTATCCTAAAGAACCCCAAAATTGTGTTCTGAATAGACCATAAACCTACACACATTAATACTTGGAGCCGGTATTTCAATGTCACCTCAAGGTACAAAATAACATTAAGTTTTCCTTAATACAAGTTTCACTGTATATCAGAGTTTCCTTAATTCAAGGTGTATCTTTAGCCACCTAAATGAACTAATTTAAAGTTCACCTTATTTTATTTACAGTTTGACTCGATTCACACTCTTGCCTTCACAATTTCTGGCTAAACATAAAAAAACTCTACTTACATTTAACAATAATATATTTACTGCTGGCCACAGCTAATTACATGGAAATCTTATTGGTCGAAGGAATTTACTTTAATTATGAACACTTAATAAAAAAACTCGAATATTTTCGCGCTGTTATTTCACGTCATGCTTCTTCTCTCGGTTAATTCGACAACTCTTTCACGCCGTAGTTCTGACTTTCTGGACACAGGTCTCTCGATTCTCGATTACTACTTGTTTCTTGATTACTCAACCGACACTGGTCCTTCACGCCGTAGTTCTGCCGGTTTACTCGCTCTTTCTCGGACACTGATTTTCTCCTGCCAAAGTTGCCTTTTTATATCATTGGTCCGTCCATTGTCTTGAATTTCTTTATTTTTTCTGACCTCGATTTTTCGTGGTTGAATCATCCGATCAATTAGTGTATTTGGTCCCCTTTTAATTAATTATCAAGGGCGTCGCTAAGTGGTTTGTTAAAAGGGTATCATCATATAGGCTCGTGCATGATTTATTGATCCTTTTAGAAATTTGTCGGCTCCTTTGGAATGGTAATTGTTGAAAACACTTAAAAAAAAAGGTCCATGAACTTTTGCTTTATTCACATTCCAATGTATAGGGTATCGGCTTTCAATAATTTCTGGATATCGATGTTCAGATAACTTTTTATTGAAGTTTCTGGTTGTGCTGTCTAAGTGATGATCTCTCCTGGGATGGTTCTTGGATCCTAGATCTTTAGTGGTTTAGAATAATCAGGACCTTCAATTGTTTTCTTGGTGGTTTATTTCCGCGTCACTACACTTTCTACTGTTACCGGTAGGCAACAATATTTCTGTTTTACACAAGGAGAGAACTACTTTACTATCTGTCCATAAAGTGTGCGGGTCTTGATGGGTTGTTTTAAAGTTTTCTTTGTGAAGTCAATCAAGCGGCGACTAATCAGAACGCCTAGAAGTTCCAATCTGGAAAATAGGATCCTTAAATAAACAGTAGCCGCGTATGCTTTCGGTAATGCGTCCGTGGAGCAATGTAATTCAAATGAAAGATCTGAGCAGGGATGCTATTTCTAGTACAATTGTACTAGATCTACCACAATCACGTTTCACCTAGTACGCTAGTACCTCTCTCATAAATCTAGTACAATATGGATTACGAGTCGAGTGTCGCTCTTCGTTCTGTACTGTACTCGAGTTCTGCGCTCCACTCTCTACTTGTGGGTTGGGTTTCACGTTCCAGGTCCCACTGCGGTGCGGCTAAAGCCAAACCAGAAATTGGCGTTTCGAATATGAGGCAATTTTTGGCGAGGATATTCAAACATAATCTGATTATGCTGGGTTATGTGATGTGTCAAATGTCATACTTCCCTAACTCCCTCTCCATCAAATTCTGGGCATGCGAGTGTCGTCACTATCAGCAGAAAATAGCGATGACGTCACCCGCAGACCTCGATCGAATACTTGCGATTCAGGCTATGTTAGTGAGTTAATTTTTTCGTCGATTTTAAATGTAGAAAAGGTGATTTTCGATCTGTTCTCACAGAACAAATTAAGTGTTCTTGATCCTCGAGTATCCCAGAATTCGATGGTGGGGGAGTTTTTTATTCTGTGAATTGACGTGCCTCATGTATCGGTGGTTATTCGGTTATTCAGCGGATCATGATAATCGGTAGTCGAATCATAACTAAATATGTAGAAATTTATTTATTTCTATCATTCAGGTGATTCGGGGCCGGTTTCCTAATAGCGAGTCACCTCTAGGTTAAGGATAACTCTATAGGTAAACATTGCAACTGGACACGTTTTTTACCCTAGAGTTAAAACCAACCCGCAGCTGACTGAGGTGACTCACTATTGAGGAACCGACCCTAAAACAAGTGATATTTATCCCCATTTAGCAGCCTACATTTGCATTCAAATTTCAAAATTTGATGCGCTTTCAGCTAGTACATAATGTCGCCAATCTAGTACAATTATTCCCTAATTTCTGGTACAATTTTGTTAGTGCTGATAGCATCCCTGGATCTGAGGTGAGAAACTTGGAATCCCATGGGACAAGGGTGCGGCATAATATCTCGATAATCGAAGTTCAGCAATAAGTTAACAGCGGGTGGCGAGACGTTATCATTGTATGCGATTCTCTTGGGATAAAGGTGCGTCCCAAGCATTGACCTCTAACCAAGAATAGACATCACAACCTTTTTCTAAATGTACCCTGATATTTACGAACAATACTGCGCCATTGCCATATCGACCGAAAATAATAATATCGGGACGTAAATTAAAATTGTGATCACAGTTCGGATGATTTTCTGAACAAGTTTGAATATCAAATACACCCAGAAACTGTTTTCTCTGATTATATTTTCATTTTTCGAATTTGGATATTCAAAGAAAATTCAAGGAAAATCCATGCGGAAACAGTAACCATCCTAGAAGAAGCCACACTCTACAAATCAAACCGGCAACGCTGATGGAGTATCGTACACATGTTTGCAGAGTCAAAAATTGTTGTTTTCAGCTTGCATATATGTGTATGGCACGGTTGCTCGAAAGCGATGTTGCCACAACAAAATAAATAATTTTTCCCAAGATCTTGTTCCTGATTGTTGGCGGAGTAATTTTATGAATGACTTGTGGTGTCTATTCTTGATTAGAGGTCAATGGTCCCAAGTAGCCTTTGGAGTAGAAGTTTTAACTGTCCGTATGCCATTTGGTTTCGAAAACGCCCCATCAACATTTCTGCGAGTCATGGATAACATTCTTCTTAGTATCCAGAATGAACGTTATTTGGTCTATAAGGACGACTTTATCGTATATTCATTTACCGGCCATGGTTGGTTGGTTGGTTTAAGGCGGGGTTAGGCGTGCTCGTGTCCCGATTTGCACTGCAAATCAGGATTTCATCAAATCGAAATAGAGCCTGCCGACGTTCCCAAAACCGCTTCAACAGTAGGAAACGGCTATTACTTTGTTCGTATGCCATTTGGTTTCAAAAACGCCCCATCAACATTTCAGCGAGTCATGGATAATATTCTTCTTGGTAGTTGGAGTGAACGTTTTTTGGTCTACAAGGACGACAATATCGTATATTCATCAACCAGCCATGGTTGGTTGGTTTGTTGGTTTAAGGCGAGGTCAGGCGTGCTAGTGTCCCGATTTGCACTGCAGTTCAGGATTTCATCGATTCGAAATAGACCCTGCCGACATTCCCAAAACCGCTTTTACAGTATAAAACGGTTATTACAAATTTGTTCGTATGCCATTTGGTTCCAAAAACGCCCCATCAACATTTCAGCGAGTCATGAATAACATTCTTCTTAGTATCCAGAATGAACGTTATTTGGTCTACAAGGACGACTTTATCGTATATTCATTTACCAGCCATGGTTGGTTGGTTGGTTTAAGGCAGGGTTAGACGTGCTCGTGTCCCAATTTACACTGCAAATCAGGATTTCATCAAATGGAAATAGAACCTGCCGACATTCCCAAACCCGCTTTAACAGTAGGAAACGGCTATTACAAATTTGTTCGTATGCCATTTGGTTTCAAAAACGCCCCATCAACATTTCTGCGAGTCATGGATAACATTCTTCTTAGTATCCAGAATGAACGTTATTTGGTCTATAAGGACGACTTTATCGTATATTCATTTACCGGCCATGGTTGGTTGGTTGGTTTAAGTCGGGGTTAGGCGTGCTCGTGTCCCGATTTGCACCGCAAATCAGGATTTCATCAAATCGAAATAGACCCTGCCGACATTCCCAAAACCGCTTTAACAGTAGGAAACGGCTATTACAAATTTGTTCGTATGCCATTTGGTTTCAAAAACGTCCCATCAACATTTCAGCGTGTCATGGATAACATTCTTCTTAGTATCCAGAATGAACGTTATTTGGTCTATAAGGACGACTTTATCGTATATTCATTTACCGGCCATGGTTGGTTGGTTGGTTTAAGTCGGGGTTAGGCGTGCTCGTGTCCCGATTTGCACCGCAAATCAGGATTTCATCAAATCGAAATAGACCCTGCCGACATTCCCAAAACCGCTTTAACAGTAGAAAACGGCTATTACAAATTTGTTCGTATGCCATTTGGTTTCAAAAACGCCCCATCAACATTTCAACGAGTCATCAATAACATTCTTCTTGGTATTCAGAATGAACGTTGTTTGGTCTATAAGGACGACTTTGTCGTATATTCATCAACCAGCCATGGTTGGTTGGTTTAAGGCGGGGTCAGGCGTGCTAGTGTCCCGATTTGCACTGCAGTTCAGGATTTCATCAAATCGAAATAGACCGCTTTTACAGTAGAAAACGGTTATTACGAATTTGTCCGTATGCCATTTGGTTTCAAAAACGCCCCATCAACATTTCAGCGAGTTATGGATAACATCGGTATCCAGAATGCACGTTGTTTGGTCTGCAAGGACGATATCATATATTCATCAACCGTCCAGAATTAGTTGGTTGGTTGGTTGGTTGGTTGGTATAGCCACGATTCATTTTCTACAGGAAAGACAGTTTTTGCTACTCTATTTCAACTTTATCGATAACAGATGTTCATTAAATTTTTCAGATGAAATCAACTCAGAAGAATCACGTAAGATAATGGACAAACTAGAAAACATCGACAGTGAAACTGACAACTTCGACATCACTTTTGTTAAGATGGCAGACGCGCGTTACGCCCGCAAATGGGGCGTAACAAATTTACCTGCGATCGTTTACTTTAGGCGCAGGTTCCCCAGCATTTACCGAGGCGACTTACATTCCGAAAAAGACGTTCTTGAATGGCTCCGGAAAAATCGGTAAAGGCTCTTGCATCATTGGCATTCCAAAAATAATCAATTCTTTTTTAGCTATCGACAGCCAGAATTGAACATATTCATGTACGCACTTTTAGCCATAGGGGTGGCTTTCGTCATCTACACCGCCTTTTTGCTTCAGTGCTTCAAAACGCCCCACACCACGCAGATTGTCGCGCATCCTAAACAGAGCTAGAACGATTGTGTGAGTGGCGGGAGAATAAGAGATGCGTGACTGGTGCGAAAAAAAATTAATGTAGTCAAATATCAGTGATATAAAGCCAAAAGCTGTCAACTGAAAATGTTGATTAATTAATGAGCTGTTGTTGCAGAAAAGAAAAACGTCACAACTTGCATTTTCATTCAAAACAGCTATATTTGATTTAAGGACATCATTATACAAGATGATTTTCTTTAACATTATTAGGAACGTCAAAGAAAATCATCTTGTGCATACAGTAAAGTGTTCACTTTACTTTCGGACCAAATAAATGTGTTCTTTTAGGAATTGTACTTGTTGATAGCTAGCGATCTTATGACATTTCTTTTTTTAGTATTTAGTTTTTTTTTTTTTTAATTTCTGACTGTACTTTTTTGTCTATTAGCATTCCCAAAAAGTGTGAGGGGAAATATTTTGTCAAAATTAATTGTAGTATTTTTTTTGTTGTATAAATTAAAAGGTTTGTGCCAATTAAACCATCACATTCTTGCTCAAGGCGTGATCGTTTTCAATTGGTTTTTTATGAAGTTGGATCAAACTCAAAATATAGCAGCGGTTTTTTGATTGTGACGATATGTACATATTGTAAATAAAGGAAAAGTTATAGGATGTATGGGGAAGGATTTTTTTTCTTATGCACGGTAAACTTGCTGGTAACTACATATATGCAAGATAAATTTACCATTCTATAATTCTATAGGAATACAGAATGCGTTTTTATCTGTCAGATTGCATACCTAACAGTTTATCAGAAGGTGAATAAACCGGTCCTTAGTACGGCTAGATTAATTGCTAGTCAAGTCCTTGGTAGTTAACAAAAACCTTATATCAACTAGGAACCCTTTCAACTAGGAATTTAAAAAAAAAAATAGTTTTTTTTTGTATGTTATGAAAAGTATTATATCAAAAGAAAATTAATGAGATTCTAACATATACATGGAGCTAAAACTTAAATCAATATTTCCAACAGAAATGGAATGGCAACTTAAAATCACATTTGGAAAAGTAAACCTTAACTTCTAAAATTATACCTCCAAGCTGCTCAACAACTTAACAATCTCGCCAATTTTCAACCCCTCGCGAAATATCTGTCTAAACGCGTTCCTGGCCTTATCTTCTTCTTCAACTTCTTTGGACAACTGTCTGGCTCTGGCTACAATTGTCGCAGGCAAACCTGCCAATTTGGCAGCATTGAATCCAAAAGATTTAGGACAACGGCCTTCGGCAAGTTTGTACAGTAAAGTCACTGATTCTTCAGTTTCGTCTTCTTCGTTTTCAACCATACAAGCCTTAAAGGAATAATTATTATTATAATTGCTATTCATCAATAGATTAAACATACCATATGACCAAGTTGTACTTCAGGAGTATCAACAAAATGATCAACCAAGGAATGATAATGAGTGGAAAATAATGTCCTACATTGCATGCCGATTAATTTTTTGACATATGCTGTAGCAATAGCATTTCCTGGAAACAAAATTTCATCAAACTAAATTCAATCTTCAAAATTATGTGTCATACCATCGTGTGTGGAAGTTCCTCGTCCTAATTCATCAATAATCAACAAAGACTGCAGCGAGGCGTGCTTCAAAATAGTAGAAGCTTCACTTAATTCAACAAAGAATGTCGAGTGACCGCGTACTATATCGTCAAAAGCTCCCAATCTTGTGAAAACTCTATCTATTAGACTTAGAGAGCATTGGGAGGCAGGCACGAAGCTTCCCATTTGAGCCATTATTGATATAATAGATACTTGTCTCATCAGGGTGGATTTACCGCCCATGTTAGGTCCTGTAAGGAGCAGTAAGGGTGCCATTTCGTTTGAGCCCATATAACTGTCGTTTGCAACAAAATTTTCAATGTTGGAGACACATGGGTGTTTACCGCTTTCGATTGAGATAAATGGCTAAGAAAATATGTATAAGTGACAAATTCGCAAATACTACTGAAAACTTACCTTGACAGAAAATGGTTCAACATTCGGCTTACAAATATCTCCGCCAGAAAAACTTGTAGCGTATTCAGCAAACGAGCACAAAACATCTAAAGTTGCTAGACAATGTATGACCTGTTGCCACTGATCGTATTTTTGACTAAATTTCTCGAAAATCCTCCTGTTTAAATCCAAGACTATTTTGGCTCGTTCGCTTTCTGCTTTCAACATTTTCTGCAGCAATTCCTTAGTTGTTGGCGTAGAGAACCTTTTAGCTGGTTTATTTCCCTTCTTGCTACCCTCCAACTGATATTCTTCATCTGCTTTGTTAGCCCTAGTTTCTGGAACTTCCAGCTGGAATCGTTTTTTGTCGTTTCCAAAATAGGTAACTTGACAGCCAAAATATTTGCATTGTTCCTTCAAGTAATCTTGCAATTCTTTTTCTATTTCTTCAATAGCTCTTTCAATGTTGTCGTAATCTTCATCTACACCTCTTTTTGGTGTGACTGTTCCTTCTTTTTCCGCGGCTGCATGATCAAAAGCTTGCTACAAAGTTATTAATGTAAAACTTGTGACGCAAATTAATTATATTTGTGACTTACCTTGAAAAAGGTTAATGTTTTGGTTAAATCTACGTTCATGCCATTAGGCTCAAATTGGGTGAGTTTACGTAAAAGCCTCGATTCACAATCTAAGAAAATTAAAATTATAAAAAATAAATCAATTATATATAATTAAAATTACTTTTAAATATGTTTGGAATGTCTTGTGCTGCCTCAAAACCTCTCAGAGTTTTCAACAAATCCATAATCTTGCGTTTTGAATAAATTTTAGCTTCATACATTATTGCTCTGCCATCTGGATGATTTGTAACGCAAAACTTATTGCCATAAGTGTGAATCCTACAAATTTAAACAATGATATTTGGTAGGAAACATTATTCTATACTAACTTTGCAACTTGTCTTTCTAGATCAGGCAATTTCTTTAAAATGTCTTGGCAAGCCTGCAATTTTTGTGGGAAATCGTAAAGTTCCTTCACAACATCTTGTCTGAGTTTAATTTTTTCTATATTACATAAAGGACGACATATCCACAATGGAAGCAACCTTAAATTGGAGCAGGAAATAATTGAAATCCAATACAATGAAATTATAATTATTTACCTTTTACCAAAAGGCGTCTTACAAAAATCAAGTGTTTTCTGTAAAGTACCCTTGCCTCCAAGTAAACTCAAATTCTGAATTGTAGTAGAGTCCAAAATCATATAATCCCTCTCGACGTGTTTAATTTTGAGCCCACCTTCTGTCAGCACAGGTTCGTACTTTTCAAAAAGTCCCATTGAAAATAACTGAATATCTAAATAGGACTTTTTCAAAAACCAATGCACTGCCCCTAGGGATTTTAAAGCTAGTTCGTATTCAGGTTTGGGATTGCCTAAATTAAAACAATAATAATAATATATTATGTAATATCATAAAATAAACCTAACATACATTCTTCAGCAATTTCTCCAAACAATTTTGGCCAAGCAAACTTGCCCTCTTTATCCTTAAAATAGCATTCAGAAAACAACTTTTCCAAAAGTGTGGCGGCAGGATAAAATTGTGTTTTAGCTGCCAATTGTTCCTGCATAACCTCCTTCAAATGAGTATTTAGCAGGTTTTTAAAAGGACCATAATTAGCCGCCCTTTCAGTTAATATCTACAATAAATACTATACAATTAAAAACACAAAACAATTATTTAAATTTACCAATCCAGGACAATATTCAGCAAAAAGAGCCAAAAGCTTAGAACAATGTTTATCATCATCAAATTCCGAAACATAAAACACCCCAATTGAAGTTTCAATAAAGCACACACCAAATCTACTTGTATTATCTGTATTAACCTTTGCTGCAATTGCATATAAATAATTCCCAACCTCTGATCTCGGCTCAGGCAATTGAGCTCCAAAAACACAAGAAGCTTTTGTTGAAACCTGACAAATTTCTCTCGCAACAACTTTATCGAATTTAGTAGTTTTCTTCAATTGCTTACACCTTTCTGCCATCATGTCGGGAGTTTCAGTTTGTTCTACTCGGGCTACTTTATAACCTTTATCAATTAGCATAGTGGCCATTTTGCCATAAGCACTTTCCGGAAAACCGGAATGGGCAAATTCACCTCTCATGTACGAAAAGCCCAACTGCTGAACACCGACAACTGCATCCATGTGGTATAATTCGTAAAATTTTCCAACTTTGAAAAATAGAACGGCATCCATGTGTTGGCTTTTTAGTACCCACCATTGACGCATTGCTGGGGTTAAGGAGCTTAAATAAGAGTCGGGGACATAGAGGGTTTTAGGATCATAGTTTGGATCTGAAGGTTTTCTTCTTTCCGCGTCCATGATTTTATCTGGTTTCATGAATACTAAAGTTTCATGCAGCCAGCCAGAATCTAACTCTGCTTTGGGTTTATTTTTGGGCTTTTTAATTGCGACTTCTTCTTTATCAAATTCAGTCTTCTCATCGCTTTTAGTGTAAGCGAAAGACTTTAAAACAGATTCCTGTGAAATAATAGACTTGTTCTTGTTGGTTGATTTTTTCTTGGACGATCTTGGTTGTTCATCAGCAGAAGATTCTTCTTCGTCTTCTTCTTCAGTAGTTGAAGGGGAATATTGAACTTTTGGTTTCTTACTTTTTGGAGTAGATTCGGTTTTAGGGGGCTTCCTCTTATTGGGAGATTCGTTTTCGGGCTCAGAGTCGCTGTCGATAAGAGCGGAACGTTGACGTTTTATGGGACGGATTTCATCGTCGCTATCTGAAAAAGTTTTGTGAAAAAAAAAAATAGTTTTCAAAGAGTTTCTAAAGCAGATAAGTTGATAAAACTGGTGAGTCATTCTTTTGGATTCTGAGTCATTACTTTGCAAATTTCTTAGTTCTCATAGAATCTTTAAATCTTCAGTTATTATTTTGTCCTAATTCGTCTTTAGGCGTATCATAAGCCAAGGAAGTGCAGACAAAGTGAGGGGAGTAATGAAGAAGTGAGGAGAAATATTAAAGAAGTCCAAGAAATTTCAAAGAAAGTCTACCTGAGTAGGTATAGGAAATCATTTATCGAATAATAAATAGAGAAAGTTTCTGCAATATGAGGATGTAAACAGAAAGAAAATATATTTTTTTTACAGCAATAAATTGGATCAAATCTGATACCTAGAAAGGAAAATTGATTTTTCTTACACAGCAATACCTACTAAAAATACTTGTGAAATTCCTGATAAATCAGCTATGTAGGTACTCATCTGAAAAATACTTCAAACAGTTAGAGCAAGAGTTGGAGAGACTTGAAATTTTCAGGATATATCAATAAGGGTCTTTCGATGAATAAAATAAATTTGAATCAAATCTGATGCCCAGAAAGAGAAATATGATTTCTCTTCCACAGCAGTACCTACTTAATATACTTGAAAATTTTGTGATAAACCACCTTTGGACCATGTTGAACATTAATTTTCATTGAAGAATTCTCCCAAAATTACACTTCATGATTTACAGGTCCAAATTTAAAAAATTCAAAACAATAATGTTTTTGTACGCTGATTTCCGACATTCTTTATTTTGTTATTTTCCACTAGAAAAATTTGAAATTTTGGGAAAATGAGCTTCTAAGGTTCCTCTTCGCATATAAAAAGTTTCAAATTTTTCCTTTCACTAGTTTTCCAGGAAAATTTCGAAATGTGTGAGAGTCTCTCTTCAATTAATTCATTTTGTGTAGGTTAATTTCCAATATTCCTCATGTTGTTATTCTCTGCTGGAAAAATTTCAAATTTTGGGAAAATGAACCTTTAACCTTTCTACTCTTCACATGGAGGCACACACCGGGACTCAAGACAGTCAAGAAGGTTTATTACCCTTTCAGCAAAAAGAGCTGAACAGCTCCTAAACATGAGCAGACCAGACATCAGATTGGTAGTGGGACTGCTCACAGGACACTGCCCAGTAAAATACCATTTAAGGTTAATGGGCAGAGCGGAAGACGATCTCTGCAGATTCTGCTCAGACGCAATAAAAACCACAGAGCACCTGCTCTGCGAATGCCCAGCCCAATTCTGCAAGAGGCTCAAATTCCTCGAGGGGGCAACAGTGTCACCAGAAGAAGTGGGCTAACTGACACCCAGGAAAATAGCTTCCTTCGGCAGAAGTCTACGCTTCCTGGAGACAAATTAAGATGTAGAGTCACGCACAAAATATCTGCAAAGGTAGCAGTGCTGAGCGGCTGAAAAGCCGAAACGACTCCCCCGAAATCTACAATCTACTCTTCACATGCACAAAGTTTCAAATTTTTCCTTTCACTAGTTTTCCAGGAAAACTTTGAAATGTGTGAGACGGTATTTTCAACTAATTCAGTTTTTGTAAGTTGATTTCCAAGATTCTTCATGTTGTTATTTTCCACTGGAAAAATTAGAAATTTTGGGAAAATGAGCTTCTCACCTTCCTCTTCACATGCAAAAAGTTTCAAAATTTTCCCTCTACTAGTTTTCCAGAAAAACTTTGAAATGTGTGAGACTGTATTTTTAGTTAATTCAGTTATTGTAGGTTGATTTCCAATATTCCTCATCTTGTTATTTCCTACTGGAAAAATTTGAAATTTTGGGAAAATGAGCCTTTAACCTTTCTACTCTTCACATGCAAAAAGTTTCAAATTTTTGCCTTCACTAGTTTCCCAGGAGAACTTTGAAATGTATCAGTTTTCAATTAATTCAGTTATTGGAGGTTGATTCCAAGATTCTTCATGTTGTTATTTTCCACTAGAAAAATTTGTGTATTAACAATTATTATTTCTGTTTTTTTTTAATTGATTTCCAAGATTGTTAATGTTATTTTCCACTGGAAAAATTTGAAATTTTGGAAAAATGAACTTCTCCCCTTCCTCTTAACATGCAAAAAGTTTCAAAATTTTCCCTTCATTAGTTTTCCAGAAAAACTTTAAATTGTGTGAGACAGTATTTTTGATTAATTCAATTATTGTAGGTTGATTTCCAAGATTCTTCATGTTGTTATTTTCCACTAGAAAAATTTAAAATTATGGAAAAATGAGCTTCTCACCTTCCTTTTTACATGCAAAAAGTTTCAAAATTTTCCCTTCACTAGTTTTCCAGGCAAACTTTGAAATGTGTGAGACTGTATTTTCAATTAATTCAGTTATTGTAAGTTGATTTCCAAGACTCCTCATGTTGTTATTATCTACTTGAGAAATTTGAAATTTTGGAAAAACGAGCTTCTAACTTTCCTCTTCTCTTGCAAAAATTTTCAAATTTTTCCAATCACTAGTTTTCCAGGAAAAATTTGAAATGTGTGAGACGGTATTATCAACTAATTCAGTTTTTGACAGGTTAATTTCCAAGATTCTTCAAGTGGTTTTCTATTTTCCACTAGAAAAATTTTGAATTTTGGGAAAATGAGCTTCTCACTTTCCTCTTCACATGCAAAAAGTTTCAATATTTTTCCTTCACTTGTTTTCCAGGAAACCTTTGAAATGTGTGAGACTGTATTTTCAACTAATTCAGTTATTGTAGGTTGATTTCCAAGATTCTTCATGTTGCTGTTTTCCACTGGAAAACTTTGAAATTTTGGGAAAATGAGCTACTCATCTTCCTCTTTACATACAAAAAGTTTCAAATTTCTCCTTTCACTACACTAGTTTTCAAGGAAAACTTTGAAATGTGTTAGACTGTATTTTCAATTAATTCAGTTATTGTAGGTTGATTTTCATTACCAAAAACCAATCATTAGTTCTATTTAAGTCAACTAACGTAACCTTGCATTGGATCCTACTCTCGGTCCTACTTGATAAACTGCTCTTGTATTTTTACTAAGCAAAATAAAAATAGAAAAAATAATTTTTTATCACAAGCAATAAAGTATGGGGATTTTTAGGAATTTTGTAAGAGACATTTGTGGGAAATTTGAGAGGAGTTCGGAGGATTTTGCGGGAATTTGGAGGAATTTGCAGGGAATTTAGAGGAATTTGTGGGGTATTTGAAGAAATTTGTGGTGGTGTATTCGGAGGAATTTATGATGGGGTATCTGGAGGAATTTGTGGGGAATTTGGAGGAATTTGCAGGAATTTTGAGGAATTATGCGTAAAAAATTTCTTTTTGAGGAATTGTTTGCACAAATTCTGGGATGGTGGTTTATCCCTTGACTTAGCCACTGGCACCGCCTGAATGTACCCAGTGTAACTCTATTTAAAAATCGTTTTTCAACCACAAAATCATAGACCACAAAATATGACAGACTTGGCATCGAAAATAGGAGATACCTATATGGAATGGTAAGACACTGCAGATCAATAATCAGTTTGAATCTCCATAAATCCCATGAAAAAATCACAATAAATCACAACAAATCACGGTTCTTCACCTAAAATTAAAAATCAGCCTAAATCCTATTTAATCAGCTTAAATTTTATTAAATCAACTAAAAATATCTGTAAATCTCCATAAATCAGTTGAAAAGAATAAATCTGGATAAATCCTCGGGTAAATCAGCTATTGAATCTCATACATCAGTAAAAATCTTGGGGTAATTACAAATTCTAAGAAGTGTAACTACATATTAATATACCTATATTGAAACTATCAGGATTTAAGTACCAATTGGCGAGCCAATTAGGGTCTTTTTATTAATAAAAATAAATTTAAAGCAATGTGATACTCACAAAGGAAAATTTAATTTTTTGTTTTAGAGCAATAGTTACTAATAAAAATACCTGTATAATTCCTGATATATCACCTTTGGACGCTTATGAAAAATACTTCAAGAAGTTAGAGGAAGTTCAAACTTTCAGCATTTACTCATTGATCAGGATCATCTAATCAAATAAAATCCATAATTCGAAATTGAATCTGGGCTGCAACTCTGTAGAGAATAGGGATACTTTCTCTATCTCTCGATTGGCATTCCCTCTCTATTGATTTGAGAGAGAAAAAAATAGCAGGTGCCATAGTGATAGGGATAACGATTTCTAGACTCTAGACTCTTTTTTCCTTTTTAAGGGCCAAATTATGGACCAACTGGTAAAGTGTATGGTTGTTACCTAGCAGGTACTTTCTATTCTCTAGTGCATAGAAAGTACCTGCTAGGTAACAACCGGGGGGCGGTCAACTTCCTCAAAATGTGTACACCGATTTAAAATTACTCTTGATTTTAACTAATTTAACAGATTTGATCAGATTTAAGAGATTTTTATTCAAACCTTAACTGTTTCAAGGTAATTTAAAGATTTATTGGATCACTTAAAAAGATTTAAGCTGATTTAGGAAGATTTAACCTAATTTAGGAAGATTTAACCTGATTTAAGAAGATTTAAATGGATTTAAGATTTTTTTAATGACTTGAACTAATTTAACTTGGGATGATTCAAGGTAAATAATTTAATCCTGAGAAGATAAAATGTATCTTATAGCCAGATATTTTAGTGCTAATAGGTACATTCGCTCTCATAAAAGTCCAATTTAAATTTTGAACTAATAAAAAAAAAGTTTTAAAAGTGATAAAGTTTGTGAGGCTTTTGCGGCCCAGGTTTATTGATAAGGTGTTTTCATTCGGGCTCAATGGCCGTCGTAAGTTGGAATTTCTTCCTTTTTCTTAGGAAGAAATTCCAACTTACGACGGCCATTAAGCCTGAATAAGAACACCTTATCAGTTCTAAAAGTGCCACCAAAGTCAGCTAGTCTTGGTACCTCGCTTGGTACACAATGTAATTAATTATTTAAAACTTGAATTTGAATTCACAAAAAACTTGAAGTGAGACTTGAAAAAACACACATGTGCAAGTCGCAAACGAATATAAGCAATTGCACCTCGAGGTTTGTCAAGTTGGAGTCGCCCAAAGTTTACGCGTTTTTTTTATCGATTTGAAATGATTTTATTTATTTTTTATTTATTCATACATCTTCACAAACACCATAAAGGTGATTACAAGCAAAGGTAAAATCGAGGGCAAAAGAACAAAGAGAGTAGAAAAAACAATAAACAAGAACTTACAACTAATATAGAAGACACATACAATAAATAGATAAAATTCTCCTAATTCTAACAAGGAAACATTACACAATCACACATTAGGATATTAAACCAATTAACTGAGAGAGGCTAGTGTTGAATATATCAAATGGCTTTTCCCTGTATACGATATTGCACTGTTCCATCATTTTATTTAGAGGAGACAGTTTATACTGACTAGTTTTAAAAATATCTATGCTAAGAATCCTTAAGTTAATTTTAGGTACCCTAAAATCCATAAAATTTATAAAATTACAATGTTTGTACTTTATATTATTGACTATATAGTATATAAATATCACAGCTTGTTCATTTCTTCTTTGTACAAGGGATTTTATATGGAAACTGTTTAGCATTGCCCCATATGATACCAAAAACGGGTACACTCCATTTTGCCTAACATACAGAAATGGAGATTTATGAAGATTTAAAAGGATTTGAAGAGATTTAACGAGATATAGAAAGATTTAGGGGATTTATACAGATTTAACTAGATTTAAAAAGATTTACTTAAAGGGATTTTAAGAGATTTAAGAAAATTTAAATTGATCTAACCTGATTTAACATGATTTGATATGATTTATGAAAAAACTAAGGTGATTTAGGGAAATTTATTTAGGGATTTAAATTGTTCCGGATCTCAGATTTTTAGGGATTTAATTGATTTAAAAGGATTTGACAGGGATTTAAAAAGATTTGAAGGGATTTAAAGAGATTTGAAGGGATTTAAAACGATTTAAAGGTATTTGACCTCATTTAATCTGATTTAGAGCAAAACAAGATGATTTATGTGATTTAATAAGGGATTTAAAGTGATTTAAGTCCATTTGTACACCGATTTAACAGAGTTAACCAGACGTTTACCAGTCAGTCTATAATTTTGCCCTTAGACACAAAAAATTCCTGTTAAATCTGAGGTTAAATTCGAGCAGGTTAAATTCCCCTTGAAAATATCTCAAAAACATTTTAAGCTCGATTTCAAGCCATCAGAGAGACTTGAAACTTTCAGGATCTTTCAGTTAGAGTCAACGCTGAAGACCTTCAAACACAAAATTATAATGAAGGAAGAAAGCTTCGCAGATTGGTTATATTTACTAATATGTATCTATGTACTATGTACCTCCAACATAATTTAACAGCCTTTTCAATTAACAGATCTTATTGATGAAAAATAATAATTATAGAATATAAAGAGGTTCCCTTTGTCAAAATTTGTAGTTATGCATGCCAGTGTCAAATTGAATAAAGTTTCTTCAGGCTATTTGATTTACCTCAGAATTTTTTTTTCTGGTAGGTAGGAGGCAAATTGAGGATTACAATTTCAAAATAGAAATAATACGGTCAAAAGCACTCACCATCAAGTTCTTTTTTGACTTTCTTTGTCGTAGGAGTACTATTCTTGGATTCACCATTTTCGGTTGATTTTTTAGGAGTTGTTTTAGGCGATGAAAAATAATTGAACAGGGTGTTGGTTTGTACCGGCTTTTTGGACATATTTTAAACGGTTTTTATGCAATGACAAACAATATTAAATATTTAAATTTTAATTAACAATAAACATTGATCCTTAGACAAGCATTGATCCATCAACAAAAACATAGGAGGCGAGAAATGGCGGCAAAGGAAAAGTGAGGTTATAACAGGACAGGATGACAGCGTAATTTTTCTTCTTTTTTTTCTTCATATCGAATTTCAATTTGGCAACGTTGGCAAAAAAAAATGCCGCCAATTTTTAAGTTTCAAATTTTTCAGTTTTCTATGGGCAAAATAATTTTTGTGAAATTACGTTTACATTTTAATAATAAATATGATCATCAGAATAAAGTATTTTGGAATAATTATTATAAATAAATACTGCAAATTCTTATGTATACCTAGTTTTATTGGGAAAAACAGAAATTAAAAGTTTTATTGGTATTGGTAGGCTAAAAAGCACCCAAACCAAACTGAATAACTTGAAATATAAATAGAATAAACTCGGTAGTTCACAGTTCAACACAGTACTTATCATTTACTGAACTCAAAACCTGCTTATCATAAGTATTTCATGAAAAATTACAAGTTACCATCACAAAAAAAAAAATACTCAGTAACAAGCAAGATTTGGTTGCGACAAGTAAAATTGGACACACATAGTTTTTTAAACATCCAATTTTAATTGTTGATAAATTTTGGACCATAACTAAAATCCAAAAATGAATGTATCATTAGATAACGCGCGCAATACTATTGAAATTCCAACCAATCAAAATGAGAACACTGAAATCCCCTTGAATAAAAAACCAGGGCTACCGCCAGTGGCGTCAACAGTCGCAAATTCATCAGCAGGCGACGTGGGTGTAGAAATAGAAATGTCGCCCAGCAGTGAAGAAACACAGAAAGCACCTGAAGAAAAAGTTAGCAAAGTCAGAAAAGAAAAACCCAGAGACGAAGTCACTTTTCGGACGCACCTGACATCATTGGCGCACATCAGTGTACTTGTTTTTGTTTATTTGGTTATCAGACTGAGTTTTCGGGGCGATTTTGTGTTTTTTACATGGCATCCCATATTGATGGCTGTTGGGGTGAGTTGAATTGATTTTCTAAATGTTATTCAATCAGGAATCATCGAAAGTTTGAGTTTTGGTTATCAAAAATTAAATTGTTTTTTAAAGGTTAATGATCCGATTTTAGACCTGAATGGATTTTAGTCAGGGGTCTTCTGACATATTTTATCATAAATGTGTTCTAGTTCATTTTCTTTTTTGGGTGACGGTAGTGAGAGGACTAGAGGAGAGAGGATGATATGTAATACATAATCGAATATGTTCATATAATAGGTACCAAATATTTTTTGTGATTTTTTTTTTTAATTTGAATTTTAATTTGTGATTTTTCACTCTTTTTTAATACTTTCTATAGGCAGTTTTTTAAGTAGAATCTAGTGGCATGATCAATTTTTTTCCAGATGCCTCCGTTTTTAGAATATTAATCAAAGTCAAGTTTGTTTGAGAGAATAGTAGGTTGCCTGATAACATTATGACGTCATCTGGGGTGCCGCAACATAATGCAAATCTCCATAAAACTCCGCAGATGCGCGTCATCAAGTTACCCCCATTACCAGACAACCTATTAAAACCAAAGTTGTGTTTTTTTAACTGGGAATTATGTTCTCATTGCTTAGCTCTTTTTAAGCTAAGTAAATCATTAATTTGTTTTATTGTATTTGCACATATACAGGGGGTGTCAAAAAAGTGTGACATATTAGATTTAATTTGGAACAAGGGGTCTTTTAAAAAAGCGTTTAATTCTCTTTCATTTGATGTCATTTGAAAGAAAATTGCATGCTCTTTTAAAACAGGTATCACTCGACCCCCTGTTCCATTTGGAATAGTAAGGGCTGGTTGGTCTCACCCCCCCCCCCCCCCCCCTAGAGCCTAGAGGGTCAAGTTAGGGCTGAAAATGTTAACACTAAACACAATCAGATTACGAACTATTAAAAAAAAAAAAGTGACATCAGATTTTTAGTTAGCCTGTTTCGTCTTAAATGGTACTTATACCCTGTATATTTATATTTGTTTTTGAGAGCGCTATCAAAAATTATAAAAATATACAAGGTGTTGCTTTAAAAAAAAATTAAATCTGATGTGTCACACTTTTTTGACACCCCCTGTATATGCGCAAATACAAAAAAACAAATTAATGATTTAAACTCTTAGGTTCTTTTGTATTTATTTAACTTTTTGTCATAAAATATCTAGATAAAATAAAAGGTCCTCCCTGTATGTACAGGGTAACCCAAATTCGAGCCTCATCATTGGGATCTCGGAAACCGTAGGAGATACAGGGTCGGTCAAATTATGGCAAAGTTGCGCAATTTTATGACCAATAGAACGCCGTTTTGAAATTAGAAAGATTCTGAATACTTCCGCAGATATTCGGAAAAAACCGAAATTTTGTAAAATCGTTTTTATTTTTTCCTGGGCTTATTTGAAGAGCAATTTTAAAATAAATGTCACTTCATCATTGTCACTTTTCGCCCTTTAGAAGATGGTGCTACGTTTCGTCTTCAGGCGGCCATCATCAACTTACTTTTTTTAAATACGGATCTGGATTTTTTTATTTGCGATTTTGTCATTTTTGGCTATCCGAAAACCGATAATGTTTATAATTTTTCAATAACACAGTAAAAAAGCAGGTCCGTATTTAAAAAAACTAAATTGATGATGATTTCAGAGGAATGAAACGTTGAATTTTAAATTTAATACCGCCATCTTGTAGAGAAGAAAAAGTGACCATGGGAATGTGAAATTAGTTTTTCAACATATTTTTAAATAAAATCATAGGAAAAAATCAAAACTACCTATACGAAAAAAACATGATTTTCTCTCGTATAAAAAACAAATTTCACATTCTCATTGTCACTTTTTTTTCTACAAGATGGTCGTATTAAATTTAAAATCCAACGTTTCGTTCCTCTGGAATCATCGTCAATTTATTTATTTTTAAATACGGACCTGGTTTTTTCACTGTGTCATTGAAAAATTATAAACAGTATCGGTTTTAGGATGCCCAAAGATGACAAAATCGCAAATAAAAAATCCCGGTCCGGATTTAAAAAAAGTAAGTTGAAGATGGATACCTGAAGACGAAACGTCGGATTTTAAATTTAGTAGCACCATCTTCTAAAGGGGAAAAAGTGACAATGATGAGGTGACCTTTATTTTAAAATGGCTCTTCAAATAAGCCCGGGAAAAAGTAAAAACGATTTTACAAAATTTCGTTTTTTTCCGAATATCTCCGGAAGTATTCGGAATCTTTCTAATTTCAAAACGGCATTCTATTGGTCATAAAATTGCGCAACTTTGCCATAATTTGACCGACCCTGTATCTCTTACGGTTTCCGAGATCCCAATGATGAGGCTCGAATTTCGGCCACCCTGTACATAATTGAATGGGAGAAATCAAAATATGTATTAAAATATACTACAATCCAAATTATGGCAAAATAGAGTAGGTACTTACCAATGTGACGTAAGCATATTTAGCATCATCTTTTGCAATAACGTAAGTACCCGTTCCCTGGATCTTTCCTTGTCTTTCCCAAAGCAATCCTGGTTCTAATATATACAGTTTTTACATTGTAAATCTTCTTGGTCATTCGACAAAATTTCCTGAAACGACCAGCATGTCTTCATTCCGGAGTGTGCTCTTCCTTTTCTTATTTTATTTATTGAGTAAACTATGTAGAACGAGAAATCCTCAGCAAGTCACCCCCGGGTTAAGCAGAAACAACCCGGAGGTGACTCGCTATTGAGAAGCCTACCCTAAGAATCGGTTCATTATTAACCTTTTGATAAACTCTGTCAGGTAATGCAATCTGACGGATAGAAACGCAATCTGTAATCTCATTGGTAGGCCAGGATTATAGATCAGTCAATTTATCTTGCAGATAGTTACCAGCAAGTTTATCTGAAGATAAACAAACCTGGCCTAGATAAAAAAATAAATTAAAACTCCAGAGCTTGGAATGGAAAAGTTAAGAGCAGTCATAACAAAAAAATTGACAAATCCCAAGAGCCTAGAATAGAGAAAAATTGAGTCTAAAAACTTTGAAACAAAAAAATCTCGTAAAATTCCTGTTAAATTCCCATTGAAAAATCTCTCTCCTCATTTTTCATTTTTCCATTTGAATTTTTTACTCTTGCTACAATTTTTTTCATCCACGTTTGTTTCTTTTTTTATTTTTCATTCTACAGGGTGTATATTTTAAGTGATACCACTATTGCTATATCCGAATTATCCGAAACGGTAAGAGCTACAAGGTCGGTTAAATTAGAAAAAAGTTGCCTTTTTTGATGCCCATTCAAGACTTGTTTACAGTGTTGCCAAATTCCTTTTAGTTTATGAAATACAGCTTTATATCTAGGGCCGAATTAAGGTGTAAAATTTTTGTAAAAATCACAACTGATTAAGAGCAGAAACGTCGGCCAATCATACTTGAGAGGTATATCGTTTAAGAGGGAATAGAGGGCGTTTTCTAAAAATGACATAAAAAATTCAGGTCCGTATTTAAAAAAAATGAAATTGATGATGGTAGCTCGATCACGAAACGTCGGATTTAAATTTCAAACATGCCATGTTGTAGAGCGAAAAAAATTATAAAACTTTCTAATTCAAATTGTGTCGCGAAAATCAATAGTTTCCGAAAGAATTATGATGAAATATTTTTAGGCGTGTCTTGGAAATCACCCTGTATTTCATAAACTAAAAGGAATTTGGCAACACTGTAAAAAAGGCAACTTTTCACTAATTTAATTGATCTTGTAGCTCCTTACCGTTTCGGATATAGCAATAGTGGTATCACTTAAAATATACACCCTGTACAGGTGTTGAACCCTCGATTAAACCTCAAAACTTTGAATAAAATAATTTACCAAGGCTCGGTTTATTCATCTTCAGATAAACTTGCTGGTAACTATCTGCAAGATAAATTTACCGTTCTATAATTCTATTTGTCGGGGGATAACTAACCGACCAAGAAGATTGAAAATTGCGTTTTTATCCGGCAGAATGCATACCTTACACCTGACTCTTTCTTAAATTTTTTCTTCATCGCACATTTTTTTTTTCCTTTTTATTTTCTACTCTATAGATATATAGGAGTTCTCTTTCTTGTTTCCTCTCTATTTCCCTTTTTTTTTGTCTAATGTTTTGTTTATTACCAGGCTCTACGCTCTTGAATTTTCTTTTTGTTTCTCTTCTCTAAATAAAAAAATTGAGTAAATCCCAGAGCCTAGAACAGAAAAATTGAGAAAAATCATATTTTTTCTTTTTTTAAATAGTGACAAGCCAAGAGCCTGCGGATAGGTATCAAGTCCTCATGCTGTTTTTTTTTTCTGCTTCATACGGTGTAGGTATATTTCTCAACCCTAGAGGCTTTATATAAAAACCACAATATGATAGGTAATCTTCGAAACAAATACTCAGTATTCAGGGAATACCCACTTCCTAAGACTAGTGGTACCCCACTGTGAATCCCCAGGAAATTTCAGTAAGAATATTGATTTTTGGAATCCTTTTTGTCATGAGAAAATTGAGGAATATCCTTCAGTTAGGTAGGTAGGTATGTGACTCCAAGATAATTATTGTATCTTATCATTTTCAAGTTTTGGACTAATTTCAACTAAATTCCAGTTAGCTAAATGATCCTAATCTTAATAAATTATAAAGGTGTATTTAAAAAAAAATGCTGTAGATAGTCCTCAAGATTTATTCAGCTTGAAAATATCAGTAGGTAATCTGAAAAATAATAAAGTATATATCAGCAACTTAATTTGAATACTTAATTATGAGAAACCGAGCAATTCCAAGTATTATTATGAATATTTTGCCTTTTCAGCTTCCAAGAAACTTGTAGACTTGAAACCAACATCTCTTAACCAGAAAAAGCATTGCAAATATAAATTAATTTCGGTTTTTAAGTGAGAGGTAATCGTATTTTTTAATAAATTCAATTAATCTGTATAGTCAATCAATTATAAATATTTCCTAGTTCAAACGGAAAAACCTCGAACTCGATATAATTACAAGACTGACTCAGTTTTATACTTTCTTGGCCTGACCTTGTCTGTGTGAAAGAACTAATTTTTATGCATACTTATTTCAAGCAAAAATCTTTATAATCTTACTTTGTTGATAAATTTTGTGGTGGGTATTTCTTGCGGTGTCCACTTTAGCATGCATTTGAATTCAAAAATTGAAATTAAGTAGCATTTGAAAAAATGACATGCAGTAAATTATTTTCCAACAGATAACATAAATGTTTTATTTTTATTTTCATGCATATACCTACTCGGAAAAAGTAATTTAATAAATTCAAGGCTACTTCGAGGAAGCATATTTATTGCGAAAAATTTGTTGGTTTTGTGTAATGTTGAGAAATTGGGAAATCCCCTTATACTATACACTAAAAATAAGTAAATTCAAACATTCAAACTAATAATCTTTGTCTGAAAATGAATAAATAAAGTTTTTGATACAACAATGAATGAAACTTAAACAAATAAATGGATTTCTAATATGTACTTAAATCATCTTATCTATAGCACGTAGGTACTAGAGACAGGAGTATACCTACACACATTTTTGAGCAAAAATAATCTATATTGTCACGTTTCTGGGGTGCGTGACAGAAATCTTGGGTCCGCTTATTCCAAAAGCAAAGTTCAATTAACACAATAATAATTTATTTCGTGTTACTAGGTATACACTTTGACATTAATTAACTGAAATTAAACTCTTAACAATAATCACTATCTAATACCGGCCTTTATATATCCGTAATCCATTCTTGTATAATCCAGAATGAACGCGATAATCATTTTCCCCAATAAGGCAGTATTTTCTAGATTTCAAGTTAGATTCTGTACGCCATGGCGAAAGCGCATCGCAACAATATGTATATTATCTTTTTATGTGATTTTAATTATCTTCTTTCTGTTCTAGTGGATGTTGATGATGACTGAAGGTTTCTACTCAATCAACAAATACAACACTTATTGGCGCTTGAAAACAAAAGGAGGCTTTCGAGTAAAAATCCACGTAACCATCTTAGCCATAGGATACATTTTATCAATAATCGGATTCGTTATAGTATACCTAAACAAAGAAAACAACAACAAAAGTCACTTTACCAGTTGGCACGCAATCTTTGGTCTCATAGGGATAGTCAGCACCTTCCCTCCGGTGATCAACGGATTATTGTTGTGGTACAAAAAAGAACTATCCAACTATATTTCTTATCCTAGGTTAGTCAAGTTTGTGCACGTTTCTTCTGGGACCTTGGCCTTTAGTTTTGGGGCTTTGGCTCTAGTTTTAAGCGTGTACACTAGATGGTTTGGTAAGAAGTCGTTGCAAAGCGATACGACTTTTTATTTTGCCTTGTTGACTGTTACTTATCCGCTGGTATGGGCTGTTTATGGACCTTCGGTTAAGTTGGCTAGAGTTATTAAAGAGTATTTTAGTGAAGAAAAAGACGATTAGATTATGTACCTACCTATATACTTACTTGTATAGTATTACATTATTTAAAAATTTTGTAACAAATGTTTTATGTATATAAAGAGAAATATTTATTTATAAGAAATTGTTTTATTTTCAACTATGTAAGAGTAGATTAATCATTTGTAGTTCAGTTCCCAGGAAATTGATTATCACTCGTAGTTCTGCTCTACCGTCTCATCTCCTATAAGCCCTATAATATCTGGAGTGTTCATTAAAATCACCCAACTAAATGGTCACTTGCATAAAAGATCATGCGAAAGGTACATAAGGGATGAAGTGTTGTCAACCAATCCACTCCACCCTAATCAACACGCATCAACGGACACAGCTCTCCACTTGGTTGCTGGGCAAGTGGAAAAATTGCTGGACAACAGAGAGTCCACCTTCGGGGTTTTCATCGACATTGGGGGCCTTTGACAAAACCACCTTTCAAAAAATTAGCCACTCGCTAACAGAAAAGAATACTCTGGAAACTGTTACCGGATGGATATTCAATATGCGTCCCAAAAGAATTGTACAAATAAGTGTGCAGGACGTCAACAATAAAGGAATAGTCAGAACATGCTGTCCGCAGGGCAATTATAGAAATATGGTAAATGGAATACACTCTGTCCATCAACCCCAAAAAGCCTGAAATGGTCCTATTCACAAGAAAGAGGAAACTGGTACTTCCGACAGCACCCAGACTCTCAAAAAACGAACTAAGTTTTGCCGCGGAGGTCAAATATCTGATAGTGACACTCGATTAGACAGAAAGCATATATCGCCTATGTACAGTGTAGACGTACTATGGGTTCTCCCCCAAGATAGGTATGTGGATCTACACAACCATCATCAGGCCTATGCTTACCTATAAGGCTTAAAAAGAAGAAAAAAGTGAACTAGCAATTTCATCAATTCATATCATAGTTGTCAACATTTTCTTAAAATTTGTTAATGAAACTCATTGTTTTAAAACAAAAACATTTTTAATTAATTATTAATACTTCCTGTAAAGTTTACTTAATCTTTACATCAAAGAATAAGTATAGTGTCTTGAAACAATACAAGCTCAAAAAAACTAGCTAAAATATTATAATAAAAGTGAAGGATTCTTCACAATGCCAACTCTGTAAAAAAAATAGGTACTTCTCCTTATGAGATATTTAAGACTATTGTCTTTTTAATACTTCAGCGAAATATTGCAGAAAAAAGGCACGCCGAGTAATCATCCAGTCTGACTTTCACAATATCACTAACATCCTGAATTAAAACTACACCTAGAATCTAATTTCCGCTGAGGTATTAAAAATACCATTATTATATTTTCAACAAGCAAACTTATCCTAAAGAGAACTCTTCATCAAAAAAGCCATCCCATGAATCCTAAAATGATTGTCATGTTCTTCGGTATTGTTGAATTGCTCCAAACATACCCTACATTGATTTGCACAGACAATATTAGCTAGATAAGGAGCTTTAGAAACTCTGGCTAGCTCATTTACAGCCTCTTCATCGAAACAATCATTTTCCTGAAAATACTTCTCCAAATTGGTAATGTGGTGGAAGTGCAACAAATGCTTCATCAATGATGGTTTCACTATAAAACATTCACCGCATTCCATGCATTGATAATAAGTTTTAATGGTTCTGTGATTTTTAACGTGGTCATGAAAAATTGATCGTTGTGATTCTGTGAAGTCGCATAAGCGACAATTGTAGATTCCATTGAACAGGGTGGCTTCTTCTGCTGTTGGGTCGTCGACGATTTCGGGCTTTTTGGGTTTGATGTATCTCAGTCGTTTTCTGGTACGATTTTCATCTGGACTGGAATCACTTTTACGACTTTTACTATGATCATTCATGTTGCTTGAGCTAAAAGAAATCATTCAATTTAAAATGTACACGCATTTAGTTATAATAATTATTACTTTCCATTCTGCTTTTGTTCCAGTACTTTTTCCAAATTAATTTTATCCAATACAACACGAGGAGTTGAAAATTTACATTCTCTCTTGTGTTTCTCTTTTTCATTTATATCTATGAAGTCTTTACAAAGGACGCAAAACCATTTAGAGCTAGGATTTTGGATGGGCTTTATATAGCATTTTTTACAATAATTAATAGGCTTGTTATTTGGGAAGATGATTTTGGTAAAACAACCTTTGCATTGACCTGACGCATATTTGGAAGAAAACTTGGAACTGGAAAGGGTTGAAGGATTGGAAAGGGTCGAAGGATTTGAACGGGCTCGCGTAGGTAAACCAAGTTTGTGAACTTTACAGTTGTGTGCATGGTTACTCATAGTTTGGAGAGACCTGAAAAAAAATTGGTATCTATATTTTTTTACATAATGCTTTGAATAATTTTACTTACCTGAAATAGCCTTTGCAATATTTGCACATATATATGTAAATATAACGACAAAGATCAGTACAATGATTCTCAATATGCCTTTTTATGTCTGAAGTTGTCATTGCATCTTGGGTGCAACTCTAAAAATTTAAATTATGAGTTACAAACTCACACAAAACATAAACTCAACTTACAGGACAAGTAAAAAACTTATCAAAATCATTTTCTCGTTCTTCGTGAATTTGACAATGTTCCTCACATTCTTGCAAATTATTGAAGGGAGTTTCACAAGTACCACATAAGTAAAAAGAGTGCACGTGGGCCTGTCGAAAATGCAGTCCAAAAGTAGCTTCTGAAGCGAAAACTTTACCGCACCGTCTGCCAGGACATTTGATCCTCAAAGATTTGGCCGTATGGAAGCAAACAATGTCCAAGTGTTCCACTAAATCCGGCCTTGATTCATATTCGATTCCGCAATCAGGACAGACATATGGGGGTTGTTGTAGATGAAGCCTTTCATGTGCCTTTGAAATTTTTTTATATCAAACTCAATTAACATTATAAAAATTACTTACTTGATATGAGCATAATGTAGGGGCAATGAGCTTACAGGTGAGACAACGCAACGTGATTTCTGATGGTTTATTATCGCCCAAAAAATGACTTTGAAGGCCAACGAGAACTGGAGTTTTGCACTCGGGACATTGGTCCAGCGAAGAAGTACAATTGTTTAATTGTTCCCTGGAATATTAAATAATATTATTTCCAAACAAAAAAAAAAAAAAACTCCACTCACCCATTCTCTAAACTTATATCATTATCTACACTTGTATTTTGTTCATCCACAGTTTCTACTTTCACTAGAAGTAGTGGATTTGTCGCTTCTTCCGGCTCAGATGGTTCTGGTTCTGATATGGTAAGTAGATCAGATTCGCTTGAAGAATTGCTTATAGATACTGTTTCCAAGCTTCTAAATGTTATCTCCTCAGATGTTTCATTTTTAACTTCTACCACTGATGATTGGTTAAGAGCTGCCATATTAGCTTGGATTTCTTTATAGGCTTGCAAAGTGATAAATTGGCATTTGGGGATATTTTTGGCAACTTGTTTCAAAGCTAATGATTGAATGTCGCCATCAGGGGTCGTCCGTTCAATCACTAAATTGGTAGGCCTTAGAGTAACGATTGCTTTGCCTTTATCTTCTGGGTTGGGAGTGTAGAATTGGGAGTTCATGAAGCCATCATCTGTATCAGATAATTTGAAGTCGATAATCGATTAATTGATTAAAAACTTACCAGAAATTAAATCTTCTTCTACATCAAATAGGTAAGGGACTGCGGGCACCTTGAAAAATCCAAGCAATTCCAAAGGCAATGGTGATATTTGCAAATTTTTGAGATTTACTTTACCCTTTTGCACATTATAGTGCTTGCGGCAATGTAGTAAGAATAAACACCTGAGAAAACAATAATTAATAGGACGGTTGATTTAAAAACATATACCTTACCTATTGTAAAATGTCAAAGCAATATTGTCACAGTCTGAACAAGTGAATTTCAATAAAACGGTTCTCCTGTTGATGTGATCAAGAAATGATTTCTTGGAGGAAAACAAGTATTTACAGGAGTAGCACGGATATACGTAGGTGCCCTCGACAGGTTTAAAAGCTACCCATTCTTTGACGTCGAAAATCTGGTCCCATTTTGAGTGCAGCTCTCTTATGGAATCCTGAAAAAAAAAAAGAATTTTATATGTACTAATCCAGTTATAATAGGATTAAGGGCTTTTACAACTGCTACAAGTTCATCAACAATTGATTAAGGGTACCATTAGTATTTGGGCAAATAAAAGCCAAAAATACCAAACCTTGAGCATATGGCTATGCTGATAGAAGAAGGAGAAAATATCAAATTATCTACAGAATTACAGAACAGAAAAAGCGATAATAAAATGAAGAAATAATGTCTGTGTCAAACAAGGAGCTGAGAAAGTATATGATTTAGAAAAACCAAGTTTTGTAGAAAAAGCTGAAGAAGAGAAAGATTTTTCAGTTAATGATCAGGAAGAAATTCAATTTAGATGAATTCTTAGGCCCAGTTCTGACAGAAAAAAACACACACCAAGGGCCGGTTTATTCACTGTCCAATAGGATTATAGATCAGTAAATTTATTATATAAGTATTTCCAGCAATTTTATCTGAAGATGAATAAACTGGACCTAGAACAGCTAACATGAATGCTGAAGACAGATGCAGATGTTAAAGGGATAAATCAGTAAAGAAATTTGTTTAAACAAACAAAAATAGCTTTCAATGATCCACAATAGTATTTATACATTTCCAACATCATTTCCACAAGGATATGATGGTTTCTTTCCAAACTTCACTATCAGTATTTAAATTAGCTGTTCTTGGCCACAAAAAGAGCTCCGCGACATTTTTAGATTCAAATTCTACAGTTTGTTGAGAAATTTGATCAGTGAGTACATAAAATGTACCTTCTAGGGCCTAAGGCATGCCTGAAGGGCTCGGCTCTAATTTAAGATCCAAATGTTCAAAACTGATACCTGATAGAAGTCTTATAAAATTGTTTCAAATCTATATTTTTCAAAGTATTTTGAAGCAAAATGAAGTTCTTTGTCAGTGCAGAAATTGACTAGTTTCAGGACAAGATCAAAATTATTCTGAAAGTAGAAAAGTCTCAAACTTGAAGTACTTTTAGTCCCTTGGGCAAACTAAAGTTCTTTAGGACTGTTCTAGGACCGAAATTCTCAAAAGTGATTAAAGTCTCATTAAACTACTGACTGAATTGAAAATTTAGATATTTTGAGCCATTTGGGTACACTTCAGTTTATTGAGAGGCCTTAGTATTTAAACTGACTCCTAGGACCTCAATTTGAGATCAAAATTCTTCTAGAAGCGATTTTTGAAATAAAATTTGTCTTAATTTTGAGTATTTTGAGCTGTTTGGACATACTTCAGTTCCCAAGAAGCTCAATTTAATATATAAAACCAAATGTTCTAAGACCTTTCAAGTGCTTGGTAACACTTAAACTCTTGAAAATTACTCCTAATTTAAGTATTTTGAGCAATTATAGTAAAAATGATTGTTTCCCAGCTTTTGAATTCATTGAGAAATTTCCTGTGAGCAATTCAAGAGCTGAGAATAGTTCAAATTTTTATTATAAGTGGCTCTTGATCTACACGGTAATTTTTCTAGTAGCAATCATGACATACTTATAGTAGCTTGAAAAGCCTGAGAACTGATCGATTGTTCTACAACCTTTTAGTGGGCTAAGGTTTCCATACGTCTAGATTTAGCCGGACATGTTTGGGTTTTTGGGATGTCCGGGGAAGTCCCGCCGGAATTCGGAACAATGTCCGGAAAACTCGGAGATCGTGAAAACATTCATACTCAGTTTACACACTATTCAAAAGACGTAAAATTTCACTTCACGCATTAGTACCTAAAGTGATTCACTTTACACACTAGTGCGTTCGTGAAGTAATGTCAATGACAGATGTCGACACTGTCATTTTTGTCTAGTAAATTACCTAACTTTACGCACTAGTGCGGAAAGTATTTGTCTAAATTTATTTTTTTACACATATTTTATTGGTAGTAGAAAATTTTTTGTTTATGCAATACGTGTGTGAAGTGAACCTTTTTTCATGAATGTGAATTTTGTCGCACTCGCCTTTCACTTTACACACTTGTTGCATGAAAAGCTATTTCGGTGAAGTCCGGATTTTGTCCGGATTTCTTGACTCCTTTGTCCTGAATTCCGAAAAACCTCTATGGAAACCCTAGTGGGCGCAAGGGTTAAGCATCATTTTAGGATTGAAATTCTACGAAAGGGTTTTTTTTTTTAAAAAAAAACTCATAAAATTGTTCTTAATTTAAGTCATTTGAGCACCTATGGTTCCGTGAGAAGCTCATTGTGTATGAACTGAATGTTCTAGGATCTGTTATTTATCCAAAGGCTTCACAATATTTTTTTACAGTAGAATATTGGACTGTAGCTAAACGTATTTTGACATATTTAACTATAAATTTCAACTTTCTAGATGTTAACTATTAATAATGCTGATTAGGCAAAGAATCTCAATCAACAATTTTGTTATTCTTAGATCTCATATGATGAAAAGAAGGTAGGGGTATTGATAATAGAGCCGAACAATTATCATGCAAACAGAAACATGGCTGAGGGATGGATTAGATCATAGATGACAGCATCAATTCTAGATGGTTATAGTATCTTTAGAAATGATTGTCCAAACCAATGTATTTTTGTCAAAGATGAAGTGGATGGACATCAAGTGAGTTGTAGCCTTTTTAAGAAATACGCAATAGATGCAGTTTGGCTAAACATACAAATAGCTAAAATAGAAACATTTGTAGCATGTATCTACAGGCCAAAAAACACTACAAACAAGCAGTCCAAAATACGCAGATGACCAATGCAATTGAATCTGCTTTTACTATTAATACTCCGACATTTATATTGGGAGATTTCAACTACTCCAACATAAAATGGGCAAATCTAATGGTTTCTCCACCAGATAAAAAAACTGATGATTTTATGGATATGTACCAAGAATCAAGCTCATCTCAAATAATAAATTTTTTAACACGAGTCCTGAGAAGAATCTACTACATTGCAGACTACAGAAAAATTAATGACTTTATCAGACAACAGCCTGAAAACTTCAATGAGAAATTTGGAGAGTGCAATAAAGCAATACATATCATTGAAGTCAGTACGAGTAAACCAGCAGAAATCTTGGATAAATCAGAAGTTATTCAAAAGAAAATTATGGGACAAGTATAGGGGCAGAACAGCAGAGAACTATAATAGTGTCTATACAATCCAGAACGATGTTTTAAAGCAGAAATTACCTGAGGCCAGAAAAAGCTATGAGCATGGATTAATCACTGCCAAATCGCCAGAAAGAATATTTGAATATATTCCTAAGCAGGAACCTGAGCTCCAAAGTAACGACAATTATACTCTGAAAGACCCCATAACAAATGATGGACCTTAGATTCCATTATTGAAAAGTTTCCGGAGCAGTTTGACCAAGCCTTACTCTCCCTGTTTTACCGATCCATACGAGGGTTGAAGAGTCTTTTGAATCTGAAGAAAAAGCCAAAGAAGCCCTAAAAAATATGAAAAAAGAGTTTAGGCCCAGATGAAATACCTAGGATAGTACTGCGGAACTGTGACTAATCGATTAGTTCTCGTCTAGATGAGGCTATGCGGGAGACTTTAACACTTGGAAAAATTCCACAGCAATGAAAAAAATCTATAGTGACTCCACTATTCAAAAGGGTCATCGACATAGACCAGAAAACTATAGGCCTATTAGTCTAACATGCAATCTACTAAAATGCATGGAAAATATAATTGTTAGAGAACTGACAGATCTCATTCACCCTCAAAACACGGATTTCTCTCTAAGCGTTCTACAATTTCAAATGTACTGGAATGTCTTCAAGATTGGGCAGACAACCATGATAATTGTCAATCCACAGTTGTGACCTATCTCAATTATGAGAGGGCATTCGACAAAGTTCCACACAATCTACTTCTAGACCTACTGCATGAGAGATTTCATCCACTTAGAGTAAATGGTGTGCTGTCAAATTAACATCTTGTAAGTAGCGCAGTTGTCCAGAATATGGGCTGAGGCTATGCAGGAGTGTTTAACACTTGGGAAAATGCCACAGTTATAGTGAAAATCAATAGAGATTCCACTATTCAAAAAGGGTGATCAACATAGACCAGAAAACTATAGGCCTATTAGTCTAACATGCAATCTAGTAAAATGCATGGAAAAGATAATTGTTAGACAACTGACAGATCTCATTCACCCTCAAAACACGGATTTCTCTCTAAGCGTTCTACAATTTCAAATGTACTGGAATATGAGAGGGCATTTGACAAAGTTCCACATAATCTACTTCTAGACCTACTGCATCAGAGATTTCATCCACTTAGAGTAAATGGTGTGCTGTCAAATTAACATCTTGTAAGTAGCGCAGTTGTCCAGAATATGGGCCCTTTGCTTTTCATATCATATATTTGTTTGATCTTGTCAGTCTCACAGAATCTATACTGAAAAACTTGCAGATGATGGAAAGCTTTATATGAATCCGCTAGTATATGCAGGGCAGCAAAGAGCTGACCTAAAAACTGTTGAAGAATAGTCTACAGATTGGGGAATGAAGTTGAATGAGTCCAATTATACAGTTATACAGTTACAAATCAAAATGACCTAGGAGTCATAATAAATTCAGACCTGAAATGGGAGAATCATATTCTAAAGATTGCCAAATAAGCCAATTCTTCTGTATACCTCATTAAATAAGCATTTAAAAGACCACTCGATGGAAATGAGAGTCAAAGTGTATAAAAGATAAAAGTTACATACGACTAAAACTTAAATATGCTTTCTCAGTGTGGAGTCTCTACTATGTGACTGACATAGAAGCTCTAGAGAAGATACCAAGATGAGTTACAAAAATACCACCAAAACACAAGACTAAAACTAACAACTTCAAAGGAGAGAAGACATAGAGGAGAAAAATTGAAAATAACCAGTAACTCGAGGGGTTTTTCACCTTGTTAATCGGTGTACAAATCACTGGTTAATATATGTCAATACCAGGTAAATACTATGTCAATAGTGTCAATACTATATGCAATACTCTCAATACTAATCTGT